AGCTGCAACTAACGATTATTTTGTAATCGATTAATCTATCGATTATTTTTACGATTAATCCAGTAATCGCTTGGCTGTGAATTGTGTAGAAAAAAAATATTTTTTCATCACAAAAAGCTAAAGTGGCAACACTCGAGGACGTATTGATGGCGTAAACTTAAAGTAAATGTTTGTAACAGGCTCTTTGTGCTAATTCTGCTATCTGATTGGATGAGACAGACAGATATTCATGAAATTATAAAAACAAAGTCGGTTTTAATCAAAAATACTACATTTTCATGTCATTTTTGCTCTGTTTGAGTCCGTGTGAACCAGAAAACGATTAATCGATTACTAAAATAGTTGTCGACTATTTCAATAATCGATTAGTCGTCGATTAATCGATTAGTTGTTTCAGCCCTACCTAGGAGTCCACCTGGACCACAGACTGGACTGGTCAGCTCAGACCAATGCAGACTCTTCTTCCTGAAAAGACTGAGGTCCTTTGATGTGAGCGGTCAGATGTCGCACATATTTTACTAGTCTGTTGTAGCTAGTGCCTTGTTCTTTGGGGCCGCGTGTTGGGGTGGCAGTCTGCCCTTGAGAGACAGTAACCAGCTTGACAGGCTGATAAGGAAATGTATCTCTGTGATGGAGAGTGTGGACTCTGTAGGAGCTGTGCTGGAGAGAAGGATGAGAGCTCTGATGGAGGGCATCCCTGGGTAACTCCAGACACCCTCTGCAAGACACTATGGCCACTCAGAGGAGTAATCCTAGCAACAGGCTCCTATCACTGTGCTGCCTTTGTTCCTTCGGCGGTCAGACTGTACAACAGACCTGAATGAGTCTTCTGCTGCTGGACACCTGAATTTCTCCTACGGGGGATCAATAAAGTACCTATCTATATATCTACCATAAGGAGTATATCACCGGACAACTCTACAACATTGCATTTGTATGAGTAGAATATGACAATGGCTTTTATTATTTCAATTTCAGTTGTATTCGTTTTATGAATTCCAAGGGATAACACAATTCAGTACTCGTATCGGTCCTCGGTGTTGGCAAGCACTTTAAAATATACATTGTCGCTCCCATCATGGCTGTGGGAAGACTTTGCGCTGTGTGGAAATGTTTTCTTCTTGCCATTTAATATTTTCAATATTTAAAAAATATTGAAAACTGTCCTAGTTTGTTTTGCATTTTTAGTTCAAGTCAATTCATAATTATTTTAATTATGTTTATTCTGCAACAATATTCTTATTTCCTTTTTTCAAAGATGATCTAGGACATAATAACTTTCATAAAGGTACACACATATACCATTGTTACGACCCGAAGGACAAAATATATGAGGACACAGAGACAGGTTGAGAGTTCAAAAAATTATTTTATTTATTTTTCTCTTTAGAGTGAACTCTAGATCTTATTATTTTATTAAAATGAACATAAATAAAAAAAAAACCAACCCCGTGTCCAGAACACAAAAAACCCAAAGTAATCAAATCAAAGGTGGACCTGGTGGGCCAGCCAAAACAAACAAAATGGGCCGACACCGAGCCAACCCTATACAGGGCCGTCCGGATCCGATGCCAACACCCTAACTAAAGAATAAAGCAAACCCAAATAGCTACACCCTCACCAACGAAAACGTATCCACCGGACCCACCAGGTCAAACAAAAATAAGGACAGGAAAAAAGGCTAAAGAATGACTAAAATAACCAAACCATGCGGCGTCTGAGGAGGCCGCAAAAAGGACCAAGAGAGAGCGCGCAGCGCGTGCACGCTCACCTCAGCAGGTGTTGCAAAAGAGGCTGAGAGCAGAGAGGGGCGGGAGCGCACCAGGACAGCGCTTTTATACTCCCGGCCTGAGCTGCAAAATATACAAAATAAGTTACAAAACATTATCAAAAATGTAACCTATAAAATATATTTATAAAAAACAATCTTACAAAAAATATACAAAACCCAAAAATACCTGGACAAAAAAAATAAGACACAAAACCAAAAGGGAAAAGAAGCCCAAACATAACAACCATTGTCAGCCTTTATTGGATCGTTTTTCACAACATATATAATACATTTAGTATTAATTGCTTTCACAATGGTGAATGCAAGAGGTTGCAGTGAGTGACGGACTTGTCAGTGCCCGTCACTCAACAAAATGTAACGGTTGTGTGCGTTTACTCAAACGCTTTGAACCTGATTTTGACCCCCTGAACCAACATGAGAGAGATTTTGCTCAAAGATCAGTTCTGGCAAAAAAATATATGTTTATGTAGGATTTCTTCCTGAGACAGAAATAAATAAAATCATGCAATAGCGCCACTTATTAGATTTTGCCAATTTTGCATTTAGTTTGTCCTAGAGCTACAATATTTGATACACATATTTGTCACCTCAATACAAGACAAAATGTTTTATTATGGCCATGCCTGCTGACCAATAGGAAGTCCATAATTTTGAAAAACCATGAATTCAGACACATAAAATCAAAACAAACAAAAATCTTGACAAGACTGTGACAAATTGAGATAAGGAAGCCATCCAGTCCTTCTCTCTTATAGAGAGTATGATCAATCCATTCAAAGAACATACAGAAATGCTGTCACTAAGTTCTTGTCTTGAAGCTAGAGATTATGTTAAAGGAGATATGCATAAGGTTTGATGTAAGGGCCAGATTGCTATGGACTGCACTAGAATCTGATTTTGTTGGTGACACTTATCCAGAAGTGAGCGCAAAAAATGCTAAGTAAGGACAGGTTCACAAGTCATTCAGATATATGGAAAAGATCAAAGAATTCCAAAACATTGAATATATTTTTTGCAGAAGAAGCCTTGCTTCATGATCATGAGGAAGCTGACACTAGGTTAGTGTTACATCCACAGCATGCTTCTGTGAATGGTTATCAAGACATCATTAAGAGCCGTGACACTGATGTCGCAATAATCCTTCTCTTTCATCTTCAAGCTCTTGATGCTAATGTGTATTTTCTAACAGGGGCCAAGAACAAAGTCAGACCTCTTCATTGACAGGAAAAAGCTGCCACTCTTTCCCCTCTGCAGAGCCCTATATCGGAGCAAACTATCAAGCTGCCATATTTGGAAGAGCTGTGAACCAATATCAACACCAACTCCTACTTGTAGAGGTTGGAATGTTATTGGAAAAGAGATTTTCATTTGCTGAATGACAAATGATCCAAAAGCTGTTCATGAAACTTTCATTTCATATATCAGTACACAAAATGTACATATCAATCAGATACGGGTGCGGATGATGTGGAGTTAGATTCCAATAATGACTCTGCTGATGAAGGTTGATCTTTGTCTGTGAAGGTTTGGATAGTGTCATTTCATATAAAATATGAAGAAAGAAATTATACCACAAGAGGTTGGAATGAAATATATTTTTCTAGACTTTGCACGTTTTTCACCAGACGGCCTATTTGTAAAGTTATCTGTACAAACAATACGTTTCAGTGTTTTACATCTCCACTTGGACAAAGAGTAGTCCATGTGATTCTCAGGCCTCTAAAACCTGCTCCTCAGTTTTTAGAGTTCTTAAGTGTCTGTTTTATCACTGCACTCCTCACTCCTGTTTTGTCTTTTATTTTTCCCATACCAGCCTCAAGAGCAGCAGTAAGAGACATGAAAGTCCCCACCATTGCCATTGTGACTGCTCCGTCAAAGACTCTATTCTGCTCCCTCTCCCTGCGCTGAAGAGAGGAGCGCGTCTGCGCGCGCACGTGGCGCGTGCGTGTGGGGCAGACATGCCCCGTGTGACCGCACGGCCCCGATTCTACAGACTCTCCCCCGCCAATACTGTCCCCCGCAGCGCACAAGGGTGCACACTTGCTGCTTGCACACGCATATCATCATCTCCCGTCCACACACAACTCACCTGCTGCTGTTGTCTCGCACTGGCCAAACCGAGGCACTTCCTGGTCGCACCATATATAGCGCAGGGGCGTGCGCATTTGGTGGACCAGAGGACTTCGTTTCTTAAATAAATTAAATTCATTTTGTATTTTCTTATTTTGTGTTGCTGTAATATATGTAAATGAAGAGGCATGTTTACACAGGGGAACAGGGTGGAGACAATGTGTAGGATTTCTTTGTATTTATCTGTGTAGGTAAAACCCCTATTCATTTTGTAATGGGTTTGCCCAGGGGCGGGGCTAACCAGTTAAAAGGAGTGTGTTTCACTCCTGGTGAGAGTCTGTCAGTCTGTGAGTGAGCTGGAGTGTGCTGTACATGAAGTGAACTGTTTGGCTGTAAGTCCTGTGTTTTTGGGTCTGATATTTTTCCTGCACTGTACATATTTTTTCCACTGTTCACTGTTTTGGTGTGTAAAAAAAACCACCGCAATTTATGTTTTCCGACTGAGCCATCATTTTTTCCCATCATCTTTTTGAAACGAACCTTCACATTTGGTGTCAGAAGTGGGATGGCTTGTCGGCGTATGAAGACTTTTGCTAAGCGCACAGGACTGCGCTCTGGGAAGCAGGAGGCGGTGCAGGATGACCCGGCCTGGGTCACCTACGAGGAGGACACAGGGGCCGCTACTGCTCATTACCTTGGCCGGCAACCAAGACCGGGAGAAGCCAGCACGCAGGAGATGCTCGCCATGATGCGGTCCTTCATGGAGGGGCCAGAGCGGCGAGAAGACCGGTTCCTGGCAGAGCTCAGGGGACTGAGAGACTCTTTCCCAGTACCAGACTGTACCAGGTCGCCATCAGAGGGCAGTATGAGACTGGATCTGCCTACTTCAGCACCTCGCAGACGACGCAGTTCCGCCGAGCCGCCAAGGCCCAGTTTGGGATCCGAGAGGGAGTTGTCCCGACCGGAAAGCCGACCCGCCCGGGACCCAAAGATTCCCCAGTACCTGGCCGGGGAGGACATTGAAAATTACCTCCTCCGGTTCGAGAGGATTGCCAAAACCTGGGGTTGGCCAGAGTGTGAGTGGGCGTGTCGTTTGGTGCCACTACTCTCTGGGAAGGCACTCGAAGCGTACACCGCTATGGACGAGGAGCGGGCTCACACATATTCGGATCTTAAAGACGCTTTGCTCACAAAGTTTGACATATCCCCGGAGACTTACAGACAGAAGTTCCGGACGGTGACAATTCCTGCTGGAGAGAACCCTGCGGAGACGTACCACCGCCTCAAGGGGCTCTACCGCCGATGGATCCCGGAGCGGCACACAAAGGAGCAGATCGGAGAGCAGATCCTCCTGGAGCAGCTTCTGCGTGTTTTCCCCGCAGATATCCGCACCTGGGTGAAGGCGCACGAGCCGACAGAGGGCCTAGCGGCGGCTAAGCTAGCACAGCAGTACCTCAACGCTCGGAGAGGAGGTCCAGCGCCTTACCAAGGTGGTCCCGGACGTCAGACTCCAGCACGGACCAGCTCTGCCAGAGCCCACACACAGCAGTCTGGAGACTCCAACCATGCAACCAGCCAGCGCGGATCTGGTAAGGACTTTGTGTGTTTTTTTTGCCAGCAGTTAGGGCACAAAGCCTCTGTATGCCCGATCAGGAAGACTAAATTGACTGGCGCTTGTTACACACCCCGTGCAGAGGACTTAAGTGCTGTAGGCAGGCGTTAGCGCTTCAAAGAGGTCTCTATTAATGGAGATCCTGTGACTGCCCTGATTGACTCTGGGAGCTATATGACACTGGTTCGGAGGGATTTAGTGCCAACAGGCCAGGTGGATTATAGCAGAAAGGAGGACATTTTTTGTGTACATGGGGAGACATTCTTACCCAACAGCAGAACTCACTCTGATGGTCAATGAACAGCCCTATTTATTGACTGTGGGGGTGGTAGAAGGGTTACCTGTGGCAGCTATTTTGGGTTGGGATATACCTGTGCTTTTGGACATACTGCGGGAAGAGGGACCCAAGGACGGTGACTGTGGAAGGGGGCTTTCAGGACTTGTAATGACTCGTTCACAGGCTAAAGCAGGGTTGAAGCCAGTCCCAGTGCAGAGAGTACCTGTGCCTGAACCCGAGCCATTTTCCACATTGGACTCTAGTTTATTTGAGAGGGGGACAAAGGGGCCAAGAAAGTCTTGCAAGCAGCGGCGCTTCGAGAAAGGGCTAAAGCGGGCAGAGCGAAACGGTCAGGACTTTTTGTGGGACGTTCCTGAGGACATTAGGGCATTGCAAAGAGCGGATGTAACATTACAATCACTGTTTGCTAAAGTGATTGGGGGAGTGGATATGGCAAAGGGGGACAAAGAATGTTTTATTGTTGACAGTGCTATTTTGTATACAGTGGCAGAAGGTGTCAAGCGCCTCGTGGTTCTGCCGGCCAATGATTATGCACCTGGCACACACCTTGCCTTGGGCTGATCATCTGGGCCGCAACAAAACCCATCTGCGCATAGCCTTGAGGTTCTATTGGCCGTCCATGTATACAGATATTCAAAACTACTGTAAGAAGTTCCAGGGTTGGTGTTCCGGACGAGATTGTGACAGACCAGGGGACCAACTTCACCTCCCGACTGATGCAGCTCTTCCACCGCCAGCTGGGGATCTCTGCGATCAAGATCACCCCGTACCACCCATAGACTGACGGTTGGTCGAGAGGTTCAACCAGACGCTGAAGAGGATGCTGCAGAAGTTCGTGGCCGATACCGGACGGGACTGGGACCAGTGGATACCCTACCTGCTCTTCGCCTACCGAGAGGCGCCCCAAGCATCCACCGTTTCTCCCCATTTGAGCTGCTCTATGGATGGGATGTCCAGGGTCCGCTAGACCTGCTACTGAATGCCTGGGAGGCTCCTGCCTCGACCACCAGGGATCGCAATATTGTCCAGTTTGTGTTGGAGATGCATGATCGGCTGGCCAAGTATCGAGAGGAGGCGGAGGTCAACCTACGCCCTGCCCAGCGGTCCCAGAAGGCGTGGTATGACCAACAGGCCCGCCATTGAGAGTTCCAGCCCGTTCAGAAGGTCCTAATACTCCTGCCCTCGTCCAACCACAAGCTTCTGGTGAAGTGGCAAGGGCCATACTCTGTGGTCAGGAAGATGGGCCCTGTGACCTACGAGATCCACCACCCAGAGAAGAGGAAGGCGAAGCAGACCTACTACGTAAATCTGCTGAAGGAATGGAAAGAGGCGGTAGTTCCAGTTTCCATGGCGTCCCTGCTGGTGATGGAGGTAGACAGTGACGGGGAGGAGGATTCTACGCTGTCCGACCTGCAGCGGCCTGCTGAACCAGCTCTTGGTCATCTCACTGCCACCCAGTCGACCCAGCTGTGCCAGGTTTTCAAGGGTGTCTTCAAGCTCTTCGCTGCCAATCCAGGAAGGACTACCTTAGTCGAGCACGTCATCCGACTGAAAGACAAAGGCCCAGTTCGCCAGATGTCTTACCGGGTGCCCCAACATCTTGTCGCCCAGCTGTTGACGGAGGATATGCAGCGCCTGGGTGTGATTGAGCCCTCCCAGGCAGAGTGGTGTAGTCCGGTGGTCATCGTGGTGAAGAAGGATGGGTCTCTCCGCATCTGCATCGACTTGCGGAAGCTCAACGCGATGTCAGAGTTCGACGCCTACTCGATGCCCCGGATAGACGACCTCCTGGAAAAGATCGGCCGGGCCCGGTTTATCACGACCCTCGACCTCTGCAAGGGTTACTGACAGGTGCCACTAGAAGTGTCCAGTCGTCCCTACACGGCGTTCCAGACCCCTGCTGGACTGTTCCAGTTCACCATGATGCCATTCGGTCTCCATGGAGCACCCGCCACATTCCAGAGACTGATGGACCGTGTGCTCAGGGGCTGTGAGGACTGCAGTGCTGCTTACCTGGACGACGTGGTCATCTTCAGCGACACCTGGGAGCAGCACCTGCATCATCTGGAGAGAGTCCTGGGCCAGATAGAGCGGGCGGGACTGACACTTAACCCGTCCAAGTGTCAGTGGGCCAAAGAAGAGGCCAAGTATCTCGGCTACCGGCTGGGACGAGGAGAGGTCCGACCACAGATGGACAAAGTAGAGGCCATCCGCAGCTGTCCACGCCCTTGCACAAAGAAGGAGGTGAGGTCCTTCTTGGGCTTGGCCGGCTGGTATCGTTGGTTCGTCCCACAGTTCGCCACCATCGCAGCTCCACTGACCGCGCTGACGATGAAGGACCAGAGGAATCCTGTCGTCTGGAACGAGGACTGCAAGACCGCCTTCCAGGTCCTTAAGTCCTGCCTCTGCTCATAGCCGGTGCTGCGGAGCCCCGACTTCGAACACCGGTTCCTGGTCCAGACTGACGCTTCTGCCGTGGGACTAGGAGCGGTCCTGGCTCAAGGGGACCCCGGAGAAGAACATCCTGTACTGTATCTGAGTCGGAAGCTGCTGCCGCGAGAGACCAGGTACTCTACCGTAGAGAAGGAGGGCCTGGCCATCAAGTGGGCTCTGGAGAGCCTGCGGTACTACCTGCTGGGAAGGGAGTTTGACCTTGAGACGGACCACCGGGCGCTGACTTGGATGAATTCCATGAAGGACCACAACAGTCGTCTCACCCGCTGGTACCTCTCCCTTCAGCCGTTCCTGTTCAAGATCCGCCATCGAGCTGGGAAGACCAACGTCGTGGCAGACTACCTGTCCAGGTTGCCGCACATCGTCAACCTCGGGGAGGAGGGGAATAATGTGACGGAGCGCCAGTGACTGCTCCGTCAAAGACTCTATTCTGCTCCCTCTCCCTGCACTGAAGAGAGGAGCGCGTCTGTGCGCATCCTCTCTATCATCATCTCCCCCCCACACACAACTCACCTGCTGCTGTTGTCTTGCACTGGCCAAACCGAGGCACTTCCTGGTCGCACCATATATAGTGCAGGGGTATGGCGCCAGATTTACGCCAAAAGTCCACACGCTCAAATAACACATACACGCGCAGCTTTATTTAATTCACACGCGCGCAAACTACTCTCCACGCGCACATTTCACACCACACGCGCGCAGACTCAGTACCACGAGCAACAATACGCGTGTGTGTGCGCTTGTGACCTGCCCTCTCCCTTCGCGTGGTCTGTGTTCTGCGCGCGTTGAACACTTTTGCCATCTCTTCTACGCGCGCGTGAAATACTTTTGTCGCTTGGGGGCGGGGCCAGTGAAAGGCAAACAGCACACTGGGTTTCTGGGCCACGTCACAGGCAAGTTGTCTGTGCATAGCTGAGTGGCTAAAGAAGGAAGCACACTGGAGCAGACTTTGTTTGTGTCCTACATTATCTAATAATCAAAAAGTCCAATCCATAAGTAATCACTAGGTTACATGATGTCGCTAGATGTAGTTATCATGATCAGTCAAGTTAAATCAAGCTCAAACAGCTAAAATGCTAACCGGCAGTTAGCATTTTAACTGTTTTGCTAAGTTAGCTAAGGAGGTTCCTTCGTTTTAGTCTGAGGAGAAACAGCTGTTCATGATTTAGCCTGTGTAGCCTTCCAGTCACAACAAAAGCACATAAATACTTTAGTGCTAAAGTATTCAGCTCTAAAACCACGAAGTGTGTGGTGTTTTTCCTTGATTAAAACAACTGGAGAACAAAAGTGATCAACCTGTATACCACTAAAAAGGCAATAATAACTTGAGCTAATGTTGCTTTTTTCCTTTATCAGGAGAACCATAGTCTTCGCCTTGCATCTGTGGAGAGGACTGCTGAGCCGAATGCATGAAGAGACGTGATGTGGATTTGTGTTTTCTTTTATTTTGTGCAGAGCTACTAGTAAAAGTCATCCAGTGATCCTCCTTGTGTCATGGTCCTTCTTCAGACAGCGCAGAACATGGAACACAACGCAGATTATACTAATAAAGGGGTTAACGGGTGTGCACCAGGTCAAGACTGTAATTGAACATTAAAAACAAGTTACAACGGAGTTACAAGTTACAACGGTTACAATTCAGTGGGGCAGAATTGTCAAAGATAATGACTATTCAGTAAGCAAAAGAATGTTACATATTGTGTAATGGCATTCATGGGCATAAGGAAGGGTCAATTACCATCTGGTGAAGAAATGTGTCCGTGGTTTTCAGCACATATTGTAAACAACTGTCATGCACAGTGAATAGTTACGACTCTGCACTGCCTGTGCTAGGGGCTCTTTATGAATCCAGACACTTGAATCCACTTCTACAAATCATCAATAACTCTCCTGACAACATTGGAAAAGCCATGTTCCAGCTTTTTCTCTATTGGAAAAGTTTCTTCAGACAAGCTGTTGAATAAAGCACTTTGCAATGGTTTATCAAGCAGTTTATGTAATTGTTTATACATGTTCATGTTTCAGTGTCAATTATTTAGATATGTACCTGTAAAGCTGGGCTACCAAACTTCTGTCTTTCATTAATATTAGAATTGTCCCAACAGAAAGTGTTCTTTAAATGTGAACAAATCAGTTCAAAACATGCCGTCTGCATCTTATTAGAAAACATGTTATCTTTTTGTAACAAAGAACCATGGAAGTCAGCTAAGAGCTGAGAGTGGTCCTCTCTTTTCTAATTTCTGTCTGAAAAAGCTGATCTAATGTCACAAAATACACTCATGTGAAACTAGTGATAGAAGTAGATTGAGGAACTACAGTAGTTACATGGATTTTATTACATCGTCCCATTTTGTTGTTTTTTTCTATTAGACATTATAATAGTGTTGTCTCTAGTGCACACTGGGAATTGAAGTGTTTATTTGCAGTTCCAAGAATGCAGGTTCTTCAGCAAGGTGTTCCTCCTGACCTGGTGATGAGTACAGCTGTGTCGTGGTGTGCGATGCCGTTATCTGGTATGGCATTCCCGTAACTGCTGCGGTGCTGGATGGACTTCTGCCACTTACAGAAGCTGTCCAGGGACTTCCCTGCATGGTGGTTTATCTCCAGTGTCGGCTGTAATGGTAAGAAGAAAATATATACTCAAACACTTTGGCTTTACTGTTTTCTCACTAGTAATAAAACCCCACTTTCAGTCTATTATTAACAAAGACCAATATTTGTCTTTTATTGCAGGTGTGCCAGTGAGTTCAAGGTGACAGCCGGGTGCACTGGCCACCAATGGAGGAAGATTGTAAACCCCAAGCTTGAGATTAGTAACATAACCGGTAATCATCCACTCCCACAGTTCCTCATTTTTGGTCGACTCGTGGCACATTTTGCTGTATCCTGTTTAAAACTTGAAACCAATGACGGACTTCTTCCACTTATGGGCCAAGTTTTGTAAAGGCTTGACTACTGTATTGTCCTGCTGTCAGCGTGCCCAAAATCCTCTATAAACAGCTTCTAGCTCGTCCAAAATACCACAGCAAGGATCTTAACAGGCACTAAAAGAAGGGAACACATAAAATCACTCTGCTGGCTTCCTGTTGAGTATAGAATCAAATTTAAAATACTCCTTTTAACATACAAGGCCACATGGAGAGATATAGACATGGTCCACCATACTATGATTGTTGGGTACTTGCAGTGCAAATATTTTTATATTTTGATTGCGTCAATCTGTAAACATTTTTGCACATCTCTGTTGTTTGTCTGTTCGCTTGACTTCTGTGGTTGCCATATATGTATAAAACATTACCGCAAGCCCCTTTTAATAGCCTAATGAAATAAATATCTTGATGTTTTCTTGGCTTAAGTACTATTTTTGGAATGGATGTTTTGGCGAGAGAACTCAAAGCCTCTCTGTGCCAAATTTTGCACTGAACACTGCTCTCATTGGAGTTCTGAACGACTTCCTCCAGTGTCCTTTCATTGGTGCATACACTTGCACATGTGAAGGCTAATCGGAAACAAAATAAGTCTTAAAGCCTAAAGGAGACGTACTGTGAAGGGAAAGACGGAATGTCAGCAGACCATTTATGTCACCAACAGTTGTGACATGAGCTCAATATTATAAGTTCATATCGTAACAGTGAATACAGTGCAGGGGTGAGTTCTGTAACTTTCCCTTAAACACAGTAATGAGACTATTAACTAGAATGTTAAATAATAATAAACACATGGATATCATCCAACTGTCCAGCCATTGAACTCTGACAATTGCTCTGGATTTGTAGAGTCTGATTTGCACAGCCCTCATCGCATCTGGGTAAGAAAGAGTAGGAAATTACATCATTTCTCCTCTGCTGTCTCAACTTTGTGTTGTTGTAAACATGTAGATTTCTCCAGGATTATTTGTGCCACCATTGTGATAGAAAGAGGAGTGACCTTGACGCTCTGCTCTCTAGACCTACACGGTGGTTCATAGAAGAAATCTTAAAATTGTATACAAAAGTATTTACTGTAAGTCACTTATGGATTACAATCAATCTCAATACACTTACAGTGTTGTTTGTATGGTGTAATTTACATTGCTTAACAACTTAACAACTAGCAGTCCAGGAGCTATACCCGTTTCTGAAAGTTTTTTTTCAGTTTGAATGTTTAGCACCGTCCCTAAACTCGCTCACAGGCTTCTTATTTCCCCTACGCTCTCAGATTCAGTTTATTTGCCATTTGCAGTAAAAACACCACATTGGAATACATTAGCAAAAGTCTCCAGTGTGCACAGACAAATACAGACAATAAAAGACAGAAATAAAACAGTAAACAAATGTCACTGTGAAATCGATCGACTAAAACAGTTTCAGAACAAGTGCAAATCATTAAAGTGCTCTGTTCACACTGATAACAGCTTGTGGATAAAAACTGTTAGCGTAACGAGATGTCCTGCATCTCAGAGAGCGATATCTTCTGCCAGAGGGAGGAGGCTGGAACATGGCTTTCCCAGGGTGGCCAGAAGAGTCATTAACAATCCTAAGAGCTTTGTTTAAAAGTCTGGATTTATAAAGAACCTCCAGAACAGGAAGCTCACAGCCCACGGTACTCTTTGCAGAGCGGAGCACTTTGTTTAAAGATCTCTTTTCTTTATCTGTGATGTTTCCAAACCACACAGACACAGAACCAACAAATAAGCTCTCAATGGTGCAGCGATAAAAGTTAAGCAGAATCTTAGAGTTAGTGGTAAATTCTCTAAGTTTACGCAGAAAGTAGAGACGCTGACGAGGTTTCTTAACGACTCTGTCAGTGTTTTTAACCCATTTCAGGTCGTTAGACAGAGTTAAACCCAGAAACTTGCTCCTCTACGATCTGCACCTGGGAGTTGTCGATTACGACAGGCAAATGAGAACTATTGCGACTGAAGTCGTAGACCAGTTCACATGTTTTGGATGAACTGGAGGTTGTTAGTTTTACTCCACTGAACCACATTTTGTATCTCTGCTCTATAAGAGGATTTATCATTGTTACTGATGAGACCGATGATGGTGGTGTCATCAGCATATTTGATGATCAAGTTTGAGTCAGAGGAGGACACACAATCGTGAATGTACAAAGTAAAAAGCAAAAGACTCAAAATACATCCCTGAGGAGAACCAGTGCTCACAGAAACAACATCTGAAAAACAGTCATTGATTTTCACTCTCTGAGATCTGTCAGTTAAAAAGCTCAAAATCCATTTACACATGGCAACACTTAAACCGAGAGACATGAGCTTTTCAATCAGTTTACCTGGGACAAGGCAGTTAAAAGCCGAGCTATAATCAATGAAAAGCATTCTGGCCACAGATTTACTATTGTCCAAGTGACTGTAGACAGAGTTCAGAGCAAAGGAGATGCATCCTCCACACTCCTGTTCTGTCTGTAGCAAACTGGAGCGGGTCAACACTCACAGGGAGCTGGCTCTTAATGAAGTCCAGCACAAGCCGCTCAAAAGTTTTCATAAGAACAGACGTGAGGGCCACAGGACGATAGTCATTCAGGCATGTCACAGGAGTTTTCTTAGGAACTGGAATGATGGTGGACTCTTTAAAGCAGTTCGGCACAGTACAGTTCCTTAGCGACAGGTTGAAAATGTCTGTTAGCACAGGGGCAAGTTGCTCAGAGCACAGTTTCAGGACACGAGGAGGGATGCCGTCCGGGCCTGGGGCTTTCCGGACTGTGGTCCTGGACAAGACACGCCTGACTTCCTCCTGAGTCACGGTGAAGGTACCTTGATTGAAACACTCAGGGAATACAGTAGGACAGGCATCAGCGGATTCAAAGCGACAGTAGAACGAGTTCAGCTCGTTTGGCAGAGCTTGGCCGACAGATGCAATTTTCCCAGCGCTAGGTTTCCACGATGTGATGGCTTTAATACCGTTCCACATTTGCCGAGGGTCATCTTCCTCAAAATAACTCTTTAACCTGTCTCCGTAACTGATGCAGATTTAATAGAACGTTTCAATGAGTAACAGGATAGCTTATAAGCAACTGTATCATTTGATTGAAACGCCAACGCACGCTCATGAAGTTTCAGTTTCACTTCCGCGTTCATCCAAGGGTTTTGACTAAAATGTTCTTTAATGACCTGTGGGACACAACAGTCAATACAGAAGCGTATGTATCCAGACACCGCGTCACAGAATTCATTGACGTCCTCTGACTGAAACACAGACCAGTCCGTAGCATCAAAACAACCTTGTAGCTTCATGCTAGCCTCCTCAGACCAACACTGCACAGTGCGAGAGGTTGGTTTATGTTCCCTGCTCCTCTGAGTATACGAAGGAAGAAGGAGAACAGAGGAGTGGTCAGACTTTCCAAAAGGAGGTCTGAGACTGGACCTGTAAGCTCCCTTCACGTTACTGTAGCAGTGATCCAGAACATGTGCTGCTCTTGTAGCTCGAGTCACGTGTTGGTAAAAGTTCGGGAGTACAGTTGTGACGGCCCCCTCTGCTGGGCCTGTGGTGGCAGTGTTCATGACATTCTGAGATGATGGGAGGCAGCTGGGAAGTCATGTGACCTCCCGGATGCTTTAAAAAGCGGCTTCCCCTCACTCTCGCTCTCTCACCTGGCTTCTGGGCACCTGCCGGCGTGCCCGGACTGCCGCTACCATTCTGGGCCCTGTTGGACCAGCCGCCACGCCACGCTTGTTTGTCCTTTCATTTACATGCACTACAACACAATATTTGCACTACAACGGTTGTCCTACTGACTTTCATATACAACACCTTGCACCCCACAGCATACCATTCACTTACACTGATTTCATACAGATTCCTTTATTATTGTTTAAATAAATGCCCCACAGAGGGTTTAAATTTCTCAGTTTGTCGTGTCCTCCCTCTCATGTTATGGTCTCACGAGCCGGGCCGTAACAACAGTCTTTAAATTACATTTATTGAAATCCCCAGCAACAATGATGACTGCGTTAGGATGAGCAGACTCATGTTTGTGAAGGATCTCGCTCAGATCCTGTAAGGGTTACTTTGTAATTTGCACGTGGGTGAATGTAAACAGCACATACAAATATCACTGAAAAGTCACGGGGAAGATAAAAAGGCAACGGATATGATGGCTCCTGCAACGGAGCCATCTTATTTAATTTACGATCTGATACATATGAAAACATTAGCATGAGCGCAACTTCTTGAAAGCTGTACAATCACTGATGAAATGGTACAACAGCAACGCACTGCTAACAAAATATATAACTGAAAGATTACCGCTAGTTTCGAGTCCAAATGTGACCCGAGCATAGTCTGGGCATAGATAGTACGAGGCGGTCCTGCTCCCGCAGGTCTCTCACGTAGACTGTAAGTCTCTCCAGAGGATATTATGTAAGCTAGCTATGTTCACCCAGGCTTGATTTCTTCTTTGATTATTTTTTTGTTTAAGTTCCCTATTCTCTTCCTCACTGTTGCTCGTTTGGGCCATTTTGCTGTGTCTGCAGTTATAGCAAGAGGAGTTATAGCCAATTCTAACATGCTACTGCGTTTACCAGCGCTGTAGAAGCTAGTGGACGCGGCCTGTTCGCTCCTCGTTCTGTGATTGGAGGAGAGCTAGCGTCACGCTAGTCTCTATTCAGCACTTTTTAC